TTGTAAGGGTGAGGTTGGTGAGGTTAGTAGGGCTTCATCATTAGCCAGAGGCTCCAACCAGAGCTGAAGTGAGAAGACAAATCATGATACTGCTCAAAATCATTATGGCAATGCTAAAGTACTAATCCTGAACACCATCAAATGCTTGGGGTAGTTACAGGAATGCAAGGCTTTAGGGAGGTATGTTTTCTCATTTGGCAGAAAACCACGTGTAAGGGGGTCTGGTTCCAGCCTTAGCTGAAGAATACAGATTCATTCGGTATTTTGTAACAGTAAAAAATGAGATTACCTTGCTTAGAATGCCTCGCCAACTTGTGTTCTTAAATTGTTTATACAGCCCTTGGGAGATGATTGCAAATTTGTCCTGTCTTATTTTCTTCAACTCCTATAATTGTAACGACATAAAAAGCAGTGATTTGCTATACGCTACCTGTAATGTTATTGTGCTCATTTCTCGGATTGTTGCATTTGTAAACTGAAAGAAGCAACGGGAGAAGTGACGATGTAGACATGCTCTTATCGCCTGGTGCAGCAGAAAAGGGAACTCTGATTGATATAAATTCTAGTTGCCAATCAAAACAGGCCATCTTCCTCGAAACAACACCAGAGTTGTTGGTAGCTCCCATGAATTTGAAGATGAAGCAAGCAATGCCCAGCAGCAAAGGTGGCCATACAACTTTGAGATTCCAAAACTGGAGGTTTCGCAAGCAGCGACCGTTAATAATTGAAGAGGTTCTGGATTTAGTGCAATTAGGGAAGGGATGTTGTAGTAAGTGCAATAATGCTTGTTGTTTACGTTGTAAGATTGAATTTTGTTTTCTCTGTCATCACTAAGGAAGATGATTGGGTTCGATCTTCGTCATCCCGCCTTTGCTGTTGTCTGTTGTCTTACGACAAGCAATGGAAGTATTAACTATTTTAACCAAGGGATAACTAATTTATCCTTCCAAATCATGGGTGTTTTAAGGTTATATTTCGAAACCAATGAAGAATTATGCGTGATTCATAATTGGATTAATTTTGAGTTCAACCATAAAATGATAGAAAAAAAGTGACATTATATAGAATTTATGTTCTAAATTTTGTTAGAATTGATAAAATTTTAGTGTTTTTTAAGTTTTAGTCTCCTTCAAAATAATTTAGAAATACTTTAAAATTTAGATAATATTATTTTCTTTCTATTTTATTTGTTAGATGATTTTTTACTATTACTATTATTACTACTTTTTATTTGTTTTTAATATAAAATATAAAGTCACATATATATATATATATATATTTATCCGAATTAAAAAAAAATCAAAATCAAAATAGAATTTAGAAAGGAGTTCAGTCAATTAAAGAACTTGATTCAAACTTCAAATTCGTGAACATGCCCTTTATATTTCATGTACGTTAATATATGTAATATTATAAATACAATAATCTTTAAAATCTTGTATAAATACTATAATATGTAAATTAACATATTATATATTTGTTCAAGCTTATCAAACTTGATTTCGACCACTTTGAGCTCGAATTGAATCTGTAATTTTGAGTTTCTAATTTCTCCTCAGTTATTCTTCTATTTATTATTATTTTTTTACGTAAGTTAAATTTCTTATACTTAATATTTTTCTTTATCCTTTAAACATTTAATCAAAATAGAGGGCCAAAACCTTTAATTTTTTTTTTCAATAATTAGTTTCCATCTCTTTTTTTTTTTTTAAATATTGCTTCACGTTCAACATATTAATATCTTGTAATAATAAGATTTTTATTTTTATTTTTATTTTTTTTATTATAATTTTATATGCGAACGAAATAATAAACATCAGTAGAATAATATCATCAACATTTTTTATTTAAAAATTTAATTTTTTACTTTCGTTCTCGTTACTCCCCCTTTCCCTCCCTTTTTTTTTATTTAAAAATATAACCTAATATGAGAATTAACATCTTAGAATAAAGAATTATCACGGCTTGGAATGACTTTATGTTACTTCTCAAGCCATGCTTATTCCATCTAATCTTTTATTTTGTTTAATTTTATCTACCATTTGTTTCATAGAAAATGTTGGTCAAAGTTGATTGATTGGTTCTTATGATACTTAAAAATTATAAATTATGCTTTTTCTTAGGTTATGAGATATTTATACATCTATTAGAGTTTATATGCTTTGGATGTTATGGAATCAAGTTATAATTAAAAGACTTACTCTTAAAAAAAAAAAAAACATAATTCATTATTTTATAATATTTTATGTTTTATTCGATGAAGTTAATATTATTTTTTTTGTGATATAGTTTTATAAAAGAATTAAATTTTTATTAACTGAATATGAAAAATAAATCACCCTTCTAATAATTAAAGTTTCATCGCTGTTATCGTCTATAATAATTTCGCATTAACCATGCATGCAAATTATCAGAGGTTATTGTCTTCTTCTTTAATACGAATCATCTATAAAATTGTTTAACGAACTAACATTACAATTTTTAGTTTTTTCAGTTGTAACGTTTAAATAAATTTTTAATATAATTAAATTATTTAATCTGTAATTTAAGCAAACGGATAATTTATAATTTTTTTCTTCCATATTTTTTTGATATATTTATGGCCATAGAAAATTAAAACCTTGAAGAAAGTAAAAGAAGTATATGAAAATTAAAATATGTATAGTCAAAACAATATTTATTTTGAAAATGCCAAAAGAATTCTTTTTTCTAGAATCTAAGTTACCTTTAAAAATAACTTATTATGGAAGTAAGTTATATACCAATTTTTAGAATGTATAAAATTTATATATATATATATATATGTTATTATATAAGAAAATAAAAAACTGAATGGTTATGTTATTGATTAAAAATCTTTTAGAAATTAATTGAAAAATAATTTTTTGAAAAATCTTGAAACTATTAAAATTTAAAAAATATTAAACATCTTAGCAAAATAGATGTATAATTTTCTAAAATATTTTATATGTTTTTTTTTTTTAATTTAAAGAAAAGGAAAGAATTCGATTCAAAAGACTTACCCTGAAAATTACTGGAAGCAACACTCAATCTGAACCGTCAAATTTCATCGTCGACAATCGAACGGTTCACCAAACAAGAAAAGAGCAGGCCGGGTCCCTTTTTAGTCAACTCCGGCGGACTAAAATCTATTAAGTCTCTGTATTGTATTTTGTAAGAAATTCAGAACAAAAAAAAAAAAAAGCTGACTCTATATTTTTTCCCAAGAAAATTATACAAAATAATAAGAGAGCAAGCTTTGAGTTTGACGCTTTACTTGCAACCCGGCTTCCTTGCTTATCTGTTATTCTCTTCCGAATATCACCTGCTCTATTCAAATCTGGTACACACTTCTTTTCTTTTTTTGCTTTCTTTTATCTTCATTTATCTTTCGATTCTTCTGATCTTCTTTTTTTAGGGCTTCGTGTTCTATGTGACTCGTGAGATTTTCTTGCTTGAATTTGCTTTGACTCATAAGTGAGGATAACTTCTCAGAGTTTTCGTCGTTGAATTGGATTCGATGGGTTTAAGTATTAGTAAAATGTTATATTAGCTTTGCATTCGGGTCTATTTTGGTAGATACGCTATTTTATGGTATTCTGATTTGTGGGTTTTCCTTGTAAGCTTGAGTTAGCTGTTGGGTACAATGAATTTTGACAATTCTGTCTTATGTAATTGGTGGGTCGTTTTGGTTGCGTGTTCTTATGGACGATTCTAGTTCTGTATTGTTTTCTCACCAAGATTGTTGCTGGAAATTAAATACACTAACACATTCTTGAAGACATTAGCTTTCAAGTTTTGCATTTTAAATTTTTTCTACGACAAAATAAGTTTAATTTCTTTATAAATATTCTTATGAGTCTGTGTATTCTGCTTAAAGATTCTCATTAACATAATTGCTTCTCTCATATTATCTATTAATAATTTGCGTTTTGCTTTATAAATTTAGTTAATAAATATGATTATGTATTGTAGTCACCTTAATGTATATCATTTTCTCATCTTTTGAGTGGTTAATCTTGTTTATCTTCTTAGAATTGCCATTAAGTAATCATGCTTTCACTGATCTAGGTAAGCATATAGCAAGGACTCAAATTGGTTTTGATATTGGATTGGTGGCAGCTTGGTTGTTAATCAGAACAGCAAACACTTCACTTATTTTCTCGTGTCAAGTGTTTAGTTGGCATGACACATTGAAAGTATCAGACAGGGGAATTTGGGAAAGTGGAGCCGAGGTTGGAAACTTGTGTATCTTTGACCTATGCTTTGGTGCCTTCAAATTTGGTTGGTGGACTTAGATGGATGTTTCCTTTCTGGGACCAAATAGCGCCCAAGGTGACCTTTACCCCTTGCTAATGGAGCGAGCACAAAGCCCTCATGGTCACGAGCACATCATTGACATAACAAGAAACAACAATCCTTTACCAAGTTCATCTCATTATGAGCAGCATCCGGGGGTGGACTCACCTCAACATGAAGATAATGCAACAAGGAGCACAAGAACCTCCCCTCATCTACGTCCTTCATTGTCATCCAATAGACAAAATTCCAGAAATTCCACATTCACACGGAGAGGTGATGGGTATGTTCGTCGTCGTAGGAGTCCATTGAATTCTGGGCTTTGGATTTCAGTTGAGTTAGCTGTGACTTTGGGACAGATTATAGCCTCTATTGTGGTTCTATCACTCTCAAGAAATGAAAATCCACAAGCCCCTCTGTTTGCATGGGTTGTGGGTTATGCTTCTGGATGTGTTGCAACACTTCCGGTTTTATATTGGCGTTTTCGTAATCGCAACCAAAGAACAGAGCAAGAATCCTTACAGCAACGTGGAGGCTCTCCTCAAAGCAATGTTCCTGAATCTACATCTTACGCAGATGCCTCAGGTTCTCAAAATCGAGATGAGGAAAGTCGTCATGCTGCAATAACACGAAGAAACAGTCAAATTAGAGGAACCTTAATTACACGGTAGCAATTTGTTTGCTTTGCTTGTTAATATCTTATAATACTTTTCTTCTTTTCTCTTTTTTTTTTTTTATTTTTTTCTAATTTGCATCATTGTTTTTTTTCTCTTCAAGAGTATATTGCATCAATCCTCAAGAAAAGCAAATAATGCATCTTTGCAAAGCCAGAGCTCATGCTGGTGTTTAAATTTTCATTTTAATTCACAATCCTCTGAAGACACTTACTTTATTGCAACATTAATTTCAATTTTGTCAGTTCAACGTGTGTTAAATCTATATACATATATATTTTTTCTACAAGACATCTCAAATATAACTAACATTCCCATGGAGTAATGGTGGTAACTAGCAAGACTTCTGTCTACAGGGCTTTCAGGTTCGTATTAGTTTTTGCTAGTTGTCATACATGAAATTGAGTAACTTTTGAATAAGAGGAAAAAATGATCTTCATTTGAGAATTTGTTATGCGGAGGGTGTGTACTATTGTCCTCCACATCTTTGTAAACAATCAGCAAGATGAGTAAATAGCAGATAAATGCTTCAGTATCTACACATTGATGTCTTTACATGACATGGAAAAAGAGATTCTGTTTTTATACAATTTATAGATGATTCATTGATTAGAACAGCTGGTTAATTTCTGATTTGCAGACTCAATGGATTGGTGGACCATTTCAAGATGGCTCTTGATTGTTTCTTTGCGGTGTGGTTTGTTGTGGGCAATGTGTGGATTTTTGGAGGTCACTCTTCTCCCTCAGATGCTCCTAAACTGTACAGGTACGATTAAACAGTACTTGGGGTTTAATTCTTGTATTTCTACTTGTAGGCTCAACTGTCTTTGATGTCCTTGTAGGTTATGTATAGTGTTCCTTACTTTTAGCTGCATTGGGTATGCCATGCCATTTATACTCTGCACTACAATCTGCTGCTGCTTGCCTTGCATAATTTCTGTCCTGGGTTTTCGGGAGGATTTTTCTCAAACTAGAGGAGCCAGCATTGAATGCATTAATGCTCTGCCAATATACAAGTTCAGGTCAAAGAAAAATGGTAATATCGGTGATCAAGACAATTCAAGAGAATGTGAAGGTGGGATCCTGGGTGCAGGGACTGAAAAGGAACGATTGATTTCAGGAGAGGATGCTGTAAGTTTATACAGAATTCTGATTTCTATTTTATGGTAGGAACCAATTAGCTGGAATTTGATTTTAACTAGGTAGCAAAATCAAACTGGGTGGACAGTAAAAAAAATTCTCACACATAAAACTGGAAACTCCAGGTAGCGATGGCTGAATTTATCCTGTTTTATAATTCGTAAAACTCACGTCAGGAAGCACTAATCATTATGACTTTTGACAAATGACATGGTTTTAGATAATACCTGAAGTTCATGATTTACTGATTGATGCATCCAGACCGTTTTCATCAGTCACCCATATATAGTTTTTGTTTATCTAGTTACATTATTCTGTTTCAAGGTGAAGTGACACTAGGTTCCAAAGTTTTATTCGTGGGAATTGTTTGAAGTAATAAACTGTAATGGTTTCAGGTTTGCTGCATCTGTCTGGCCAAATACGAAGACAATGATGAACTAAGGGAGCTACCCTGCTCCCATGTCTTCCATGTGGAGTGTGTGGATAAATGGTTAAAAATCAACGCATCATGCCCGCTCTGTAAAAGTGAGGTCGGTGAGAGTGGTAACGTGACATCAGTAGGCAGAGATACCAGCCAGAACTGAAGCAATGGGAGATTGCCGAAGATCATGTTTGTATGCTCAGCCTGGGAAGCAATTGAACCTTGGGTAGGAGAATGCATAATCCTTGGTAAGTTAACAGATTCTCCAGAAGCAGAAAAGACTAACTCGGGAAGGTGGTTCTCTTGATGTATGCTGCAGCTCATACCCATCCATAACTTGTGGGGTGTAAAAGCAAGAGTATAGTTCCCAACCAGCTTTTTGGTTGAATTGTTTAATACAGCCTGTACCGGGAGAGAGAAATGGAGATCTGCCGCATGTTTATGGAAACTGTATAATAACTATATATATAAGGAAGGCAGTGCATTGTATTGAGATACACACATTACATTGGATGTGGATAGCTCATGTTCTTTTGCAGTTGTAAATTGAAAGCTACCACAATGAGTAAATAAGATTGGAAATGCTTGGTCTCTAACGTGAAGGAAATGAAGCCCTAGTAAATACTTCATCTCTCTCAAATTTCAGTAGGGCATCCATAGCCCAAACAAGTTACTGGAATTTGATTGCTGAACAAATGCTGGATTATAGGTAATTGTGGTCAAATTGATTACACCTCAACCTACAAAATCTGCACAAACATGGTGTGGAATCGAAACTTTTCCGCATATTCCATAAGTTAGAACTGACATTACGCATATTTGTGGCTGAACAGGACCAATTGGGTTAGCCTCCAGGAACTGGAAATTGTCTTGGGGCACCCTCCCATGTTGCTGCAACTACCATGTTAAAAACACCTAGTAACATCATGATCTTAAACATCGCTGAATTATATTACTCAGTTTACGGAATGAAGAAAATTGAAGAATATTACTCACTTCAGGAGTCAGTTTTAAACATCCAAAAGCAGAAAACTAAGAATAAAATTCAAACATGGCTGCAACAACCATCAACCCCTATGCATTCGATTCACTTGCAAAATTTTCCACAAATATGAGTGTTTATACAAGGTAAAATGCCTAATTAAATTAATCAAGTACAACATGCTCCAAAGATCAACTCTACCAGGTATTGTTTTTGCTGACGGGATGTACGACCAGGACTTTGAAAAAAAAAAAAAAATCTCTTGTGCTCCCCCAACCTATTAAATAATCTCAGATTTTTCGGGCAAGCCCAAGGCACTAACCTTTCTCAGATCTCATCCAATGATGAGCAAATGGAAAATTATCGACCCTTCGACATAAGAAATGAAATTATACACATTTGCAAAGGAATGCATTTCACAACAGGAGAACAGGTGAAAAATGAGAATCTATGGGTCAACTGACTTTGTGCAAAACCTCAGCATGATCCTCCGAAGAAACCCACTCTCCTCAAGGCTGTGTATATTTTGAGCCATGACTTCCTTAAGTTATGCGTCACACTCCATTATCTTCAACCTCATGTCAGCTCATAACGATGTTTTTAATATTCAGATGGTCAGGTCCTTGAATCCCTCAAGTTTCCCATTTGATACAAGAGAGGTAGCATTTGGACCAACTTCACGATGACTTGGACTCCCATTCTCAGTCTTCTTGCAAGTTTGATTGTAGATCGAGTTCGGCATTGCAGAGCTGCATTTGCCCTCAAAGTAGGTTGAATATGGGAAGTACTCAGCACAACGTACTTTCCATCCTGCAATTTTAAAAATAGGTATCAAACTTCATTATGACAGAAAGTTCATTTTTGGTTACATCCAGTTAATTTAAGATCAACTTAAAAAATAGGTATCAAACTTCATTAGAGAAGAATTTACAACCAAAATGTTACAAGAGATGATTCTTTTCCTACTGTTCTTTCCTCAGAAAAACCTAATATTTTCAGCTTGTTTAGCCCAATTTTCATTCCATTTCTAGTTCATTCGTGCACTTAATTTTTAGATTAGTACTTCATGTTAAAACCATCAATTTCAATTCCAATTCTAGTTCATTCTTGCACTTAATTTTTAGATTAGTCCTTAATTCATGTTAAAACTGTCTTGTCCCCCTCCCTAAATTCCCAGAGAAAAAAATTCCCAGTTCCTGTTTTAGAAAGAATTAGCAAGGAAATTAGTCAGAATTAATCCAAACAGGACCTCACAAGCTCAGGAAGTACCAAACCCAGCGAAGGAAAACGAGCTCGTACAAGTAAAGCATGAATGAAATAATCCAAACATGTTAAGAATATACTTATCAATCAATTCCAAACTGATCTTTTTGAAAACATTATAAAACCAGTTCACGCAACGAATCTCAAATCTCCAAAATTGGTAAAGGATGGAAGAATGACCATATCAACTGCTCAAACATGAAGTTCATGTCAAATTGTCAGTAACTTCACTTTCACAAAGATGAAAATTCTTTGCTCATCATACATATCATAAACTCATGGAAGCTGGTAATGTTATGCTGAACAGTGACACAAAACAATCCATGAAAATTTATAGTACTTACTAAATGCTGCATCAGGATCAACAAGAACTGTTCCGAGGAGTTGGTGTGCTGCAATACACTCTTTGAGTTTCCAGGAACTGACAGATCCCAAGGCTCCATTTCTACATGTAACCAATCAACTCATATAATTATATGTTAGATACATTTATTAAAAACAAACAAAAAAGGTGTACTTAAATATTCTGAGAAGCATTACATTGGCACTACATTGTTGGTTGAGTCTTCAATTAACTTAACAGCCTCAGCTTTCTTACTAGGATCTAAAACGCACATCATTTCTGCAACTGCAGCTCTATGCATCAAAGAAACTGCAGGTTGGAAAAGTAGAAACAATCATCACTATGTATCGTATGTCAATAAATAACAAAGGAAATCAAAAGTAGATACAGACCCCCATGTTTATCAAGAAAGGACTTGTTTGTCTCCATCAGCGATCTACCATACAATTGACTATATCAAGAAACAGCAGAAGAATTAAGCATAACATAAATCTGTGCATCATACAACAACAAACACACAGAAAAAGTTCCATTAAAGATAAAATGATAATAAATGGAGAAAAGGACATCTCCAGACCTGATTGTCGGGCCCTCCGCTTCTAGAACACTCCAAACAAGTTTCTCAGCATATGTTATAGGAGAACTCATTGAGCCTATTTTATGGAAGAATTTAATCTGGAAGATTAAATCCAAATCAGCATGTTTGAAATCGGGCCACTACTAACAAATAGTATATAGTAAATCGATCATACTCATCAAAATCTATATCAGATTAAAGGCTCTTTGTTACATTAAGTCAAATCAGAATGTTTGAAATAAAAATGATCACTCGCAAAAAAAAAGAAAAACCAACCACTTCATCTCACAACCAAAAAGAAATTGGATTCACCACTAGCATACTGAACATATATCAGTGTGCTCATAAATATCTCTCTACCTCCTCTCTCTCAAACACACATGACATGAACAAGCAAAATGCCAGTAGGCACTACATACCAAGCAGCGGTGTGAATCTGGGTTCTCAGCGTCCAATCTTACCAATTGCTTTACAGCCTATAAACAAGGGAAAGAGCAAGATAGAACATCAGGTAATTATAGTAAAAATTTAAAGGGTTAACATTAACCTACTTAATCACTGATGTGGTAGAAGGATTAAACAAATAACAAATGAAAGACTGTCCATTTCTCACACTTGAAAGCTGAGTATACCTGGAGAGCAAGTAGAATTTTTTGTTTCCTCATGTTTACTTCAAAAGAAAGCAAGTGTGTCTCCAAAGAATCAGGCGAGTTCTTCTGAAGCAGCCTCAAGTACTTTGATGCCTCTGACAGTGGATCTTCAACCTGAATAGATAATCATTCACAATAATCGAAAGAAAGTGATCCAGTTAAAGATGCACAAGTTATTGGAAGGTAGAGAGAACACTATACCAGCAAAAATAAATAAAGCAAATAAAGAAACAATAACCAGTCAAACAACCTGCAGTAACTTCTCTCCATGAGGATCTGGATCCGCAGTCTTAACATTACGTTTACCAGACTTGGAGACACCACCACTGCTTGATTCTTCATTTTTACTCTCTGCCTCCTAAATAAATGAAAAGCATCAGAAAATAAAACAATTTGAAACTGTCTATATATCACAGTATACCGCAAAATGCAGCCATACTTTCTTAGCTCGGGCTTCTGCCTTTCTCTGTCTTCTAATTTTCTTCTTCTGAGAAGGAGGTAGCTTTGACATTTCCTCATCTCCTTCAGCTGTTGATTTCGGAGAATCATACAACTTCAAATAGCATCTACATGTCAAAATCCAAGAAAATAATAATCATATAAATTAGTGAGCAAAGTTTTTTATTATTTACAATAGTGGCGTAAGGTCTAACATTTAGTCAAAGTCATTCTTGAAACATCCTAATCAAATTAGTTTGACTTAACCTTCAGGATGGAGTCTTATTTGCGACTACATAATACATTAACCCACCATGACACGTTGCACGTCTATACACAGAAAATGAAGTGGAAAACAAGAACTGGAAAAACCCCTATGTACAAACACCTAACAAAGTAGAAACTATGAGCAAGTTCATTAAACAAAAAGGCCTGTTACAAACCTGCATTAGGCACCATTTTCCATTTGGTTTAACTCTGATGGCATGCATTTAATAAGACTAAGTCACTAATAAGCCAAAAGATAACCTAAAAAGGCCAGAAATTTACCAAAAAACTAGAAAAAATTAATCAGCACATAGAAGGTTTAGAGAGTGTTTAGGATGTCTTAAAGAAATGTGTTCTTAGAATTACTTACAGCACTGGGTGCCTTAATTTTCCCAAAGCAGCCAGATACTTATTTGAAAAATGAGCAATTATAAGTAAAAGGGGAAAGAAAATAAATTAATTAGAGAAGAAACACATACCTACAAAAGTTATAAATAAGTTGCTCATTGTTTTTCACTTGAAATCACCTTTAAACACCTAACAAGCATGTGCTTATTTCGTTGCACGGTCAGATAAACACTTAAAATTACTAATAAGCACCACAATCTCAAATATCCTCTTACTAATCAGGAAGGGGGCTTTACATTGTGTGTGGATGGGATGTGTTAAAGGTTCATGCTAACTGTAAGTAGAATTCAAGAATATCTTTAGAAGGAGACAATTGCAATAACACACTAAGGGAATGTACAAAAGAAGAATTTGGCATAAGATCACCAAATACTTAGCCCTTGGAAGTGAGGGAACAATCCTTAAACAAAATATAAAGGATATGAAACCAAACACCACATCAGAACATACTAGAGTCCTACAATCAACATATTTATTCATTTTGGGCAAATAGGTAGTTATAAGCTTTAATTTACACAAGTAGGATATCCCCATAGAGGAAATATTCGAAGAGGATCAACCTTCACTCAACACCCTAATAAGGGAAAATATCT